TGGGAAGAAATTAAGTTTTAAGTTAGACATTGCTGAGGAAAAACAATTTGTGTAGAAACTAACAGACAAATGGTGTGTATGAGAGCAATGGTGACTTGAATAGAGCACATGGGGGTCTGTGCTGCGTCAAAAACCTCAGGGTCAGGGTGGTACTTCTAGGTTCTGATAGATAATAGGTCAAATAAAATAGCTACAGTATTAGAAGCATCCTAAGTACTTAAAACACAAGGCAATGCTATTTATGATTTAGTAATACAATGATGTAAAAGGACAGAAATGACTACTGGAATGGCATGGAAAAGCAACTAAAGCTACAACATCAAGCTGACATCAAGAAGTGTTATAGAGATAGTAGGTAACACTAGGGCACAAATCTGGAGCAGTAGAAGCAGAGATAATGAATGCAATAGGAGAAGAAAACATGATCTTAGCCACTAATAACCATGTGAGCCACTCTTCCCCACTCTGAACCATAAGGGAGATGAGAAGAGAAATTGGAATTCAGAGACTCAGCTATTTGAGCCTCATTGATTGATTACATTTTATTTTATTAATATTGGGACTCTTGCACCAAATTCCCCTCACCCTACTCCTATTTCATTGGTATAGTCTAAAAAAATTAAAGGTTACTCATACTACAGATATTTTCCCCCATCAATACCAAGCTTAGGGCTGGCCAGATACCTCAGCATACTAACAGGCCGACTTAGGCACAGCACAGTGTCAGGGCTCGATCCTCGGCATGCTATGCCAGCCCTTCCCCCCCGGGACATGCTGAGATAGTGATTGAGACTGGGTGTGGTGGAACGCGCCTGTAATCCCAGCACTTGGGAGGCTGAAAACAGGAGAATCACTGTGAGTCAGATCTACATAGTGAGACCCTATAGACCCTGTACTAAATTAAAAAAAAAATCAAGCTTAATTAACCTAGGCAAATCCTAATTCAATTTATCATACAGTACTTTTATGTAAACCAAATTCTTTAATAGTCATCAGTTCCCCCTACTATTATTCTTTTCCTTTTTCCATTGTTTGTCTTATTATTTCATTTTTATATTGCAGAATTAACAAGTATCAGTATGTAAAGCATTTTATGAGGCCGTGTCCTGGGGGAATGATTCAGGTGCTTCCAACACTGTGAAGTATTCAGAAACTCTCAGAAATTGTAAAATAGTATCTGAAATATGGAGATGTTGAGGAGTAGTAATGAACATTGAATATCCATGAAATCTCTCATGTTTTACATCCCAGTTGGCCGAGAGGGGCATTTTGTATTCTAGCATAATGGCACAGTCACTATTAATCTTCCCTGATCAGAAAGCAGGAGATATAAATGAGAGTTGTTTTCAAAGTTTTTTCATATAAGTACCATGCAAACATCAGAATTTTTTCTATCTTTGTGTGTTTCTGCTGAAGATTTTAGATCCAAAGAGACTACATTAATCTGTGGTATGGCAAAGGGGGAGGGTAGCTCTGCTTTATGGTCTAAAGAGTATGGGGCTGTTATAGTTTGCATCTAGATGTCCCTGTAAAGCCTAATGTGGTCACAGGTAGGGCTTTTCAGTGGTGGCTAGATCTAAAATGTGTGATGCTTGGATTGATTCTTTATGTAATGGTAGGATTAAGGGCGCTAGGATTAAGGATATGGGTGCTACCTGCCCAAAGACAGGTAGCCTGAACAAACTAGAGGGGACAGAGAGAGGCTTGTTGGTTGCCTTGTAGACTTCTGCCTTCTACCTGCCATGAACTGTTTCTCCTCTGCGATGCCATCCTGCCTTGGAGTTGGCCAACCATTCACTGAGACCTCTACAAGCTATGCCCTAAATACACTTTTTCTCCTTTAACTGTGGGTGTTGCATATTTTGTCTCAGCAATGATAAAGGCAAATAAGACAGGAACCATGACAGCAATGCTAGTGTGATAAACCAAAGAATCCATGAAAGAATAGGGAAGAAAAGTAAAAAGTGTCAGTTAAGCAAGTGATTGCAATCATAATGTGGCAAATTTCAAAGGAAATATGCTAAGAAGAGTTCCAAGGAGTATTCCCTTTACATGCTAATAAATAGAGACAGCAACATTTTGTGAAGTATGTGGCCTCCCCTGTAGCTAGGAAAGACATTGTTTTTTGGCTTTGTTATGGTTGCTCATTTTTCAATTATTTACAAGTTCATGTTTGCTTTATATAATGATTGCACTTACTGTAGGGAATGGGTGCATGTATATCTAACATCTTAATCCTTTTTTTATCCACTTCCCATCTGCTCTTCCCACCCTTTCTTCTCCTCCTCATTGCTCTTCTGTTTGCCAAATGTTCTATTTAGCTGTTTTCTATCATCTTTTATTTTGCTACTTAATTTATACTTTGGGTTTCTCATCTAGAAGAAACCATGTGATAGTCAAGCTTGTGTGTGTGTGTGTGTGTGTGTGTGTGTATGTGTGTGTGTGTGTTTTGGTGGAACCAGGGATTGAACTCAGGCCCTTGCGCTTGCCAGGCACTTTTTCTACTGAGCTATCTCTCCGGCCCTGATATTCAAGCTTGTGTATCTCATTTATTTTATTTAGCATTACGGATTCAAGTTTCATTTAGTTTTGCAAAAATGCTGAAATTTATTGTTTATAATAAAGTAGTAATACATTGTGTATAAATACCATGATTTTAATTCATTCATCTATTAATGGAAATATAGGCCAATTCCAAGATTTAACTATTACATATTGTGGTGCGGTAAACATGGATATGCAAGTAACACTATATATGGTGTCTTTAACTCTTTCAGGAGGATACCAAGAAGGGGAATATGTGGTCCAATGAAATTTATAATTTTAGTTTTTTGAATTATATATATATATATATATATATATTAATTTGTATAGTGGTTCATATTCCCACCAACAATTTAGAAGGATTTGGTTTTCCCTGAAGCCTTGTGAGCATTTGTTATTGATTTATTTATAGTACCTATTTTTTATAAAGTATGGTAGAGTTTTAGTGTAGTTTTAATTAGCATTTTTCTAATGGTCAGAAATGTTGAGCATTTTTTCATGTATTTATTGGTCCTTTGTACTTCTGAGAAATATCTACTCATTTCAGTTGCTCTTTTTTATGTTGTGTCTTTCATTTTGGGGCATCTAAGATTTTTATGTTCTTTATAGGTTCTAGATATGAGTCTTCTATCAGAGGTGTAGCTGGAAAAACTTTTTTACTGTCTACAGATTGTCTCTTCACTCTGTTGATTGTTTCCTTTGCTATGCAGAAGCTTTTTAATTAGATCATATCTATGATTCTTTTTTTAAAAACTTTTATGCATTTGGTACAGAGTCTCACTATGCAGCTTGGACTTGTAGTGATCCTCCTGTTTTTAGACTCCCTGGTCTGGAATTACAGGTGCACAGTACCATACCTGGTCTTGGTCGCCAGCTTAGCACGCCCAAGGGCATGACCAATATTTTGATTCTTGATTTATTTCTTCTGCAATTGGGATACTGTTCAAAAAATTGTTGCTTATTGCTATGACATGAATAGTTTGACTTATTTTTATATTCCAGTAGGTTGAGCTCTTATGTTTTAATATTTAAATATTGAGTCTGTTTTGATTTTTGTTTATCTCAGTTTGAGAGATATGAGTCTTGATACAATCTGTGTATAATCAGTTTCCTCATTTCTATTTGCTAAAGGGGCTATCTTCTTTCCAATATATATTCCTGGACCCTTTGTCAAAAATGAGGTATGTAAGTATATATGCAATTATTTCTGAATCCTCTATTCTCTACCATTCATATGTCTGTTTTTGTGCCAGTACCATTCTCTTTTTATCACTGTACCATTGTTATATAACTTGAAGTCTTGGATTGTGGCACCTCCTACTTTGCTCTTGTTGCTAATAATCACTTTTACTCCCCCTGGGTCTGTTTGGTTCCATATGAATTTTAGGATTATTTTCTCTAGTTCTATGAGAAATATTGTTGGTATTTTTATTGAGATTGTGCTAAAACTATATAACAGCATGGGCAGCATGCAGACATTTTCATTATTGTTTCTGGTTATCTAGGAGCAGGAAATATTTTTCCATGTGCTGTTGTCTTCTTTTATCCTTTTACAGAGTACTGTTGTTTTTATTGTAGAGGCCTTCCACTTTTTGAGTTAAACTAATTCATAAATATTTAATTTTCTTTTGATACTATTGAGAATGTTATTGTTTTCCTAATTTTCCCTCAGTGATTTTATTATTGGTTTATAGGAATGGTATTGGTTTTTGTATCCTGCTACATTGCTGAATTTGCTTATTAATTCTAGGGATCTTTTGGAATTTTTTTTGTATCTTCTATGTAAAAGACCATATCATTTACAAATAGTACTATTTGGTGACTTCCTTTCCTATATGTATCCCTTTTATTTGTTTCTCTTGCCTGATTGCTCTGGTTAATATTTTGAGTACTCTGTTGAAGAAGAGTGGTGATAATGAACATCCTTTTCTTGTTCCTGATTTTAGAGGGAAAGCTTTTAACTTTTCCCTACTTAATAT